AAATGGAGAGAAAATGTTTTGAGAAACAATGTACAAATGCGCTTTACACAATTGATGTGTGTATGGATTGGGATAACAGTTGTATGAGCCCCTGATAAAATGGTTAAAAAAAAAAAAGAAAAAGTTATGGATTTTTTAAAAATGCTGTACCAAATAAACTCACACTAACTTGATATTGCATGTTTCAGCAGCATCAACCTTGAGGCACTAAGAAGGATAAACCATCAGCTTGAGAAGAAGCCCCTATCAGAGCAACATTCATTCCACCAAAATGGAAGGACCCACGCACAGCAAGTTCACGGCACAGCTTGGATGCAAGAATGGTGAAATCACTTACACTGGATGAAAAGTTTATGGAAACTTAAGAAATTGGCAATTTACAAATAGAAAATCCATTTCAAGAAGGGATGAGACAATTTTGAAGATGGAGCTGAAGCCTGAAGCAGCAGATAGCCAAGATCTCCACTGGCTCAGCTTACCCAATTCTGGCTGGAAACTAAAATTGGAGCCAACTTTCTGCTCCACGAGTACTGAAACTGTTGCGCCCAGATCAGCTGCAGACAAGAGCAGAGATTTCGATAGAAATGTTAAACAAGTTGGGATCAAGACCCTGAAGCACTGTAACAGGAGAGAAAACATGGCTGTACCAGCATGCTCCTGAAGCCAACAGCACAATCAGAGCAAAGGCTAACAAGAAGTAAAAGTGGTCTTGTCCAGGTAAAAGCTGATCAGTCAGGAGCAAAAGTTGTGGCAATAGTTTGTTGGCATACTCAAGGCATTTTGCTTGTTGACTTTCTAGAGAGCTAAAAAATGATAATACCAGATTATTAGAAGAATGTTTTAAAGAAGTCAGCCAAAACTTTAGCAGAAATATACCCAGAAAGCTTCACCATTCTTCCACCACTACGATGCTCCTGCTCATTCCACTCATCAAATGGAGACATTTTGAGTTTTGATGGAAAATTATTAGGTCTCCACCTTAAAATTCTGATTCCTGATTGAACCCCTTCTGACTTCTTTCTGTTCTCCAATATGTTAAGTAGAACTTTAAAGTACATCCATTTTTCTTCAGTTAATATTACAGAAGAGGTTGCACTGACATGATTAAATACCCAGGATCTCAGTTCTTTAGTTCTAAGATATTAGTTGCTTTTCCCTCTATTATCACATTTTCTCTATTTGTATAAAAACAATAGCACAAAACAATAATTTATAAATTATCAAGGGTTCATGGGGGAGGGGGCAGTGTGGAGGGAGGGTGAAAAATGAGGAGCTGATACCAAGGGCTCAAGTAGAATGCAAATGTCTTGAGAATGATGATGGCAACATATGTACAAATGTACTTGACACAACTGATGTATCTATGGATTGTGATAAGAGTTGTATGAGCCCCTAATAAAATGATTTAAAAAAACAACGAAAACAACAGCAGAGGAAACTGCTGCACATTAGTACAAATCAAGAACTAAATTATATGCATATGCATTGCATTACAGTTATGCATGTTCATGTTTT